CCCCTGCGTGTGCTGCACTCCCAACGGGGCCTACAGGCACACAACACACACACACACAGACAGACTGACAGGCACACACTCTCCTATGCACGCAAGCACGCTGAAACACAAGCATGCACGGAGGGAAGGGATCGGTGCCTACACAGACAGACAGACAGACAGACAGACAGACAGACAGACACACACACACACACACACACACACACACACACAAGCACGCCCATATGCAGACAACCTGTAGCAGGCGGTTCTCAGCCTGGGTGCTTCTGGGATTCCCACTCGGGGGTTTGCCCTCCCTCCTCGTGGGTTTCCTGCCCGCCTGAGGGCTCTGAGCGGTGGGTGAATTTCGAAGGTTGTGGCGGTGGGCTGGGGGTGTGGTGGGGAGGGGCTTTTTCCGGGGTGCGGATGGATGGGGGTGTCCTGGCCAGTGCTGGCTCTCGGCCCGCCGGCCTTGAAGGCCCCAAAGGGCCAAAAGGGCAGCCAAAAAGCCTACAGCACCCGGTATTCCCAGGCGGTCTCCCATCCAAGTACTAACCAGGCCCGACCCTGCTTAGCTTCCGAGATCAGACGAGATCGGGCGCGTTCAGGGTGGTATGGCCGTAGACGAGGGCGGCTGTCGCCGCGACGCCCCATCAGCCTGCTGCTGCGGCTGCTGCTGCGCTTGCCAGCCTGCCACCGGCCGAGCCCAGCCGAGCCCAGCCCACCACCGACCGGCCCTGAGCTGAGCCCGGCTCAAACCTCAGCCAGCCCCGCGCCAGCGCTCCCGCCCCCTGCCTGTCACCTAGGCCCTCCTCAGCACTCTGCCCCAGCCCGGAGCAGGGGCCCAGGGCCAGCCGTTGCCACCCTTTCCTCCCCCGCCCCACGGACCTCCACTCCCTCCCTTCATCGGGCACCCTCACCGGGCCCCAGCCGTGCCTGCCCCCGCCAGGTGTGCTGGCCCCCCAGGGCCTGCTCCTCCCTTTCCCTCGGCCTCGGCTCCAGTGTGCACGCGCCTCGCCTCTCGCTCCCCCCCGTGGGGAATCCACGGGTGTTGGCTCGGACCCTACGGGGGGGCCTTCCAGGGCAGGAGGGCAGGAGGGCAGGGGAGGGCTTTGGACCCCGACCCCCGACCCGCCCCACCTGGGGCCTGTTGCCCTGCAGCTAGCCAGCTGCAGCTCCTTGCCTCGGGGCGGATTGGAGCCCTCCTCTGACCTGCAGGCCATTTCTGTGCCCGGCGGAGCAGGCGTGGGATCAGGGTTAGGGGTGCGAATGGGGGTGCGGGCGTCGGAAGAGGAGAGGTGCGAGGCTCATCCCAGGCTGCGGAGTGCGCTTTGCAGCTTTCTCTTCCCGATGAGCGTCTACCGCTGGCTTCCAGGGCAGGTGCCCAGGAAGGCGCAGGCAAGGCGTCGGGATGGCTTCTGTCATCCTCCCAGACGGGGGAAGATACTCTCCTGCAGGTGCTCTCCCGCGCGGTGCCAGGACGGATCGGATCGGGTGCTCGCTGGGCAGGGCGGTCATCCTATCACCCTCGGGCGGGGCACGCTTGGGGGGAACCTGTTGACTCCTGCTCTTGCAAATCGTCCTCCCTCTGCTCCCGCTACTCCTCCTCCTCCTCCTCTCTCTCTGCCACTCTTCCACCTCCTGGTCCTTTCTCTGGTCCTCCTCTTCGTCCTCATCCACATCCTCCTCCTAGTCCTCCCCATCTCCCCAGGACATCCCCCCTCTTCCCAGAGAATCCAGGAAGATCAGCAGGGTGGCTGGCAGCGGGTTAGAGGGAGTGTTTGTGTGAGCCTGCGTACTTACCTGTGCATTTGCTCACGCGTGCGCGCGTGCTCGTGTGTGTGTGTGCGTGCGTGTGTGCGTGTTGGTGGGTGGGGGCCAGGAAGAATCTTGGTTCACTCTTAGGAACTTGGGATGCAGGCTCCTAGGCTCTCAGTTCTGCTCTCATCCCATCCCACCCCACCCCACCCCACTCCACCCCACACCACCCCACCCCACTCCATCCCTCCCCGAAGTCCATCCGCACCGCCAGTGCTGCCATCCATTCGTCCTTGTGAAGCCTCACACCGCCCATGGGAGAAGGGAGAAGGGCACGCTTGCCAGCGTAGAAGATGTTCCTGGATCGATGGAGCCTGGAGCCGACGGAACTTGGAACGTAGAACTTGGAAGTTGGGTCTTGGCGCTGTGCCGGTGGGCCTTGGGGGTTGTGGGGGCAGTGGCAGGTCTGGATCCAGAATCATCTTGGGCTATGTATCCTCAGTTCCTTCCACTGGGCCACACGGCCACCCAATCTCCCTCCATCAACGAAGATTCTTTCAAATTTCCTGCTTCACTGAAATGTCTGCCAGATATTATGGGCTGTAGGGTAAAGATGGATGCTCCAAAGTTGTAAAGTATCTCTGGGTGACTGTCCAGGCAGTTAAGTGTCTTGTCATTTCTAGGGTTGGTTTTTTTTTTTTTTTTTTTTTAATTTTTTAAGGTCATTTGCATTGGAGTTTTTGTTTATTTAAATAATATCCTTCTGGTGCCTTTGATGGAGTTGATCATTAGATAGTTAGAGATCATTTAAGTTAGGATAGATTGTGAAGTATTTTATTCAAATTTACCAGAAACAAATGAATTGGAATTAAGTATATTGTGAATACAATCTTTACTATGTTCAAGCTAAAACTTTTCATTTTTGTATAGAAAAATGCGGATATGTTGGGCAATGTGATGCTTTGTTGCTTTTGTTATGCTGCATTTGTTTAACTCTGTGAAGCTGTGATACTTTGCCTGTTTAGAAGCCACAGAACGAATATAAGGACCACAAAATAAACTTCACTAAATGGATTTTCACGTGTAGCACACTTTAGTGTCTACCTCAAATGTCTCAAAATGGGAACCATAATGTAGTGATCTGCACCATCAGTCTTGAGTGAACATGGCAAGGAATTTACTTCCTTCAAGGCTGTTATGTAAAAGAAATGAAACATTCATTGAAGCTAAATACACTGTGATGTCTGAAATCATTAATAAATCACTTACATAGTTTTTCTCTTGTATGAGTTTGTCCCTATTTCCTACCTTAAAAAATGATATAAATAGGCTTTAAAATATCTCCAGTGCTAGAGACATGGCTGGGTGTTAAGAAATGTTCATTCCCAGGACCAAGGTCTGATTTGTGACGACTTCTTGTAATTCCTTCTACAAGAACATCCAAGGCTCTAATGTTCTCAGGAACCAGAATGAACATTCACATACCCACAGAAACACACCCTGACATTACATAATCACAGTTAAAACAACTCTTAAGAAATGATTTTTCATCGATTAAAAGTTTTTCTCTTTAAGCATTCATTCCTGTAACACAGCATTTCTAATATCTAATGCCTTACTTACAAAGTTTTTCCTCATCATGAATTGGTTAATTTAACAGAAAGCAAGAATATAGCCTTGAAGCCAGACAAATCAATCCTTCTAAATTGGTGGTAACATTTAGGAAGATGTAGGAAATGCTGCCCTACTGGAGGAAATATGTCACTGGGAATTTATATTTACACACCATTTCCAGTCTCCACGCTCTGCTTCCTGCTGCAGGGTAAGGATGTGAGTTCTTATCCTCTTACTTTAGCTGCTATGTGTGACACTTGTCCACATGACACTTTCATGGTGATCCTGTATCCCTCTGGAAACCAGGGCCAAACTAAACTCTTTTGTAAGTTGACAGACATCACAACAACAGAATAGGAACTAATACAAATCCATAAAGTTCTATACCTGAATTAGTTATTTCAAGCAACTGAAGAGAAGTATACAGTCTAAAAGGGTTACATTATCATTTAAATTCATATTGCAAGTGTTACAGCTCTGGGAAGAAAGATACCCTAACTGTTGGAAGGCAGGTTATACCTACAGCTGTGAAAGGAAGGTATCCTTGACACCTGCAGCTATGAGAAGAAAGGAATCCTGGTTGTCAGGATGTCAGGCTATACCTTAATCTGAGTTCCACTGGGGATGGTCTCCAGGCAGAATGTAGCAATCCTGCTCCTCTCTGAGAGCTGTTCAGCAGGCTCTGCTTCACTCTGCTAAGAGAACTTTCCAGCAGAGATGTCCCATGCTGCTCTGCTCCACTCCAACAGAGAGTTTCCCAGCAGAGATGTCTGTTTCTTCTCCGCTCTGGACCAAATTGCTACTTCTCTGCTTCACTCAACCTAGGGGGAAACTGCTGCAGTAATGTACTAGTCAACTCCAGCTCCTGCAAACTCCCTTAAGACAGCTTCCCAGCAAAGGTGTCCATTGCTTCTCTGCTCCACTTCACTGAAAGGAAGGCCTTCATCTAAAACCCAATCGAGAGATTTATTTGGAGGGGAGGAATCCAGGGGAGTGGCTGCCTCTGCCAGAATGGAAAAAGGATTCTGTCAACTGAAAAAACACAGGGTTTACATAGGGCTTCATAGGGGTAGAGTTTTTCCAGGGAGAAGATTTTCTGGGTGGGAATTGGTCAGATTTCAATCCCTGAATGTGAATTAGCTCAGAGAATGGCTGGCTTTTGTGCTCAGGGATTGGTTGGTTTTGTGTTCAGTTGGTCAAAGGTAGAGTGTTTTTTTGTTGTTGTTGCTGGTTTTTGTTTTTGTTTTTGTTTTTTTGGCTCTAGTTTCAGGGCCAGAGGGGACCTTTCGCTGGTTCTGGATTAGGGACAAGGTATGTTACTTGGGCTCTCTATTCAGGGTCAGAGTGTGTTTCTTTGGCTGACACTTTTACCCTACACATAAGGTTCATAAATTTGTATTTTTCCATGCAAACAATATAAAAACATATCATAATGCTTGAACAGATAGTTAACACTGTCAAATTTCTTCTACAGAATACTGGATTTCTTTGTTGTTGGTTTTTTTTTTTTTTTTTTTTTTTTTTTTTTTTTTTTTCTGATTGCGTGCTGGCTAAAGATCTTACCAAATAACAAGCCCTTGGTATCTTTTTCATTACTCAAAAACTAATGTAACTTGCAACAGATTGGTTGCACACAAAAAGGTTTACACCAGTATGACATGCAAAACTTTACCACATTGATTAAATTTATTTGGTTTCGCTACAGTATGTTTTTTTCTCATGATTTCGAAGACTACTGATACAAACAAAGGTTTTACCACACTGATTACATCCATAGGGCTTCTCTCCAATATGTGTTCTTCTATGCTTTTGAAGATTAAAGTGTCGTGTAAAAGCTTTACCACATTGATTACATTCATATGGTTTCTCTCCAGTATGTGTTCTTTCATGGCTTTGGAGATGGCTGTGAAGGGCAAAGGCTTTACCACATTGATTACATTCATAGGGTTTCTCTCCAGTATGTGTTCTTTTATGTATTCGGAGATGAGCGTGACGTGTAAAAGCTTTAGCACACTGATTACATTCATAGGGTTTCTCTCCAGTGTGTGTTCTTTTATGCTTTTGAAGTTCATTATGACCTGCAAAGGTTTTATCGCATTGATTACATTCATATGGTTTCTCTCCAGTATGTGTTCTTGTATGCCTTTGAAGAGTATTGGGATGAGCAAAGGTTTTACCACATTGATTACATTCATAGGGTTTTTCTCCAGTATGTGTTCTTTTATGTATTTGGAGATGAATATGTTGTACAAAGGCTTTAGCACATTGATTACATGCATAGGGTTTCTCTCCAGTATGTGTTCTGGTATGTATTTGAAGACCATAGTGATAAGCAAAGGCTTTACCACATTGATTACATTCAAAGGGTTTCTCTCCAGTATGTGTTCTTGTATGCCTTTGAAGAACACTATGATGAGCAAAGGCTTTACCACAGTGATTACATTCATATGGTTTCTCTTCAATGTGTGTTCTTTCATGGCTTTGAAGATTACTGCCATATGTAAAGGCTTTAACACATTGGGTACATATAGAAGGTTTCTCTCCAGTTTGTCGTCTTTCATGCCTGCAAGAATAATTGGCACATGTAAAATCTTTACCACGTTAAATACATTGTTAAATCTTTGTATCGGTAGGAATAAATTTTACACTTTGGATCAACTGTAAAGAGAAATCAGATCTTAAGGTTTTTATCACCAGGTTTACACTCATGTTATTCCCCTTCATTAAGGGTTTGGGTTTGTTTGTTTTTTCTTGCTGTTGTTGTTTCTTTCAGACCTATTCTTTATTCTCCTTTTGTGTTCTCATCCTGTATGCTTATCTCTATTTAGAACTGTCCCATATGTCCTCTTGAAGTTTTCCTTCTGACTTTCTTGATGTTCTCCTCTTAATTCTCTCACTCTTGACATTTTCCTTCTAAATCTATCTTTATCCTTGATGTTTTTCTTGTAAATCCTTCCATCTCTCTCATTCTTGATGTTTTCTTTCTAACTCATTTTTAACTCTATCTTATTCTTTCCCTTAAAGCTTATATACAACAGCAAAAGCTTTCAAGCAATATAACAATTACAATGTGGTTACATTCTGTTTCTCAAGTAAATGATTACAATGAATACAAATAAAAACAGCATGTTTTCAATATCCCTTACATCAGTAAACATTTTACATACTACACGTAAAAAACAAATTATCCCAAGAACCCACATACATTCATACCCAAGCAGCTTGTTACAGATTAACTGTGTAGGCAAACAAGATACTCTTCTCAATCAGCTCTTTTGCCGTCAGGATGCAGTTTTCATTTACAAAGAATGAATTACTTTATTAGTTATATTGAAAGGTAACTTTATAAAGAATCACAAAACTAAACTGCCCCTTGATTCTATCTGCCTCACAGACTTGTTGTATAGGTTAAGGTTTCTCCACTACAACTGCCCTCTGATTCTAATTGCCCTTCATAGACTTGTGGTATAGGTAAAGAATTCTCCAGAACAACTGTCCTTTGACGCTAACTGCTTCTCTAACTAAACTAAGCACAGTCACAAGTATATGAGATACACTAGATTTACTATGGACTATTTACTTATTATAATAGTTTGGAGATATACTTATCACCTCCTCAACATGCATACCTTTTGTAATATGGGTGGTATGAATTGACAAATCCACAGCATAGTTCTCATGGAGCTATGATTCAAATGGTGATATCTGCTAAGACACTGTTTCCATGACTTCTTTTTTAAATGAATGACTTACAAATGCAATTCACCTACCAGAAGTTATAGTTTTGTGAGAATTGAATAATAATCCATACAAATTAAGATGGGCATATTTATACTGTTGTTTTTGTTTACTTCCAGGACACATTACAATTTCTTCAGGGGCACATTTCTATCAGCTTGCACATAATAATTACCTTTTAAGTCTTCTAGAACTTTGACAATGGTCTTCAATATTACGGTCTTCCCAATTGTATCCTAAAATATAGTACCAGAAAATGTATGGTATATTATTGAAAACTGTGCAAAATTTAAGTTACTATCTTCTGTGAACCTTAGAACCATGCCTCATTTATTCACCTCACTCTTCTTTCTCAAACAAATTACAGAAGAGCATCAAAAACCATGGAACAGTTGTCCCCTTCTTTTAAAACATGAAGGAAAATGCAGTCAGTCATACCTATGGTAGTGAGGTTCCTGTAGGTCTCCAGCATCACATCTTTGTAGAGATTCTTCTGGGAAGGATCCAGCAAAGTCCACTCTTCCCAAGTGAAGTCAACATGCACATCGTTATAGGTCACTGTATTCTGAAATATCCCATACATGTGTTCAACAGAAAGCATGATACTGGCTGCATGGTAAATGACTACTTCTTTGATAGTATAGTCATATAATTCTGATGCTCCCCGCACTCATCCCATGACATAGACATTATAATGGAATTTCCCAGTCAACTCTGTTCCCTGAGAATGGGATATCATCTTGCAAAAGAAATGTCTATTAAAAGACATAGACAGACAAGTAAACAGGTCAACAGTACAGAGTATACATGAGAGAAATTATATGAACAATTACTAACTACAAAAAAGAAAAATAAGATGGACAAGCTGGGTGTATTAGCTAATCTTTCACTTCTGCACTCAGAAGTCAGAGGCAGACATTTGCCACAGAGTTGAATGCCAACTTAGCATATGCAGTCAGTTCAAGAATAGCCAGAAGTACATACTAATGCAAAAAATCAGTCAAACAAACAAAAAAGAAAGAACTCAGGTTTTTACTGACCTTACTACAAAGAGTTATGCATTCACTCCAGTTCTATATTCCTCTTACAGAAACCTAGAGTACAACAATTTAAGCTGTTACATCAATAAGATTTTACTTCAAGGCACTGCATGTTTTAAATGTTACAAATGGACAGATGAAAACATTAGTAACAAATGCCGAACATAAATAATACAGGGCAGAAGAGATGGCTCAATATTGAAGAGCTCTTGCTGGTCTTGCATACAGGTGGCTCAATTGCTAGTATTACTAGTACTAGCTAGTATCTACTACAGTTAGTATCTAAGCTCAGGTTTTCTGAGATCATCTTTTGACCACTGTAAGGAGCTGGAACCCTAGTGGTGCACATCCATCCATACAAATAAAACACTCATTCTCATTACAAAAAAAAAAAAAAAAACAAACAAACAAAAAACAAATACAACAGCGAGGAAGAACATGATGTACTTGCAATCCAATGACATAGAAGGCTCAGGCAATATTAATGCCATATATACATGCCATCCTGGAACAGAATTGTACCCTTTGCCCAATTTTAAATTTCAAGATATGAGCAAAGCTCAGTACAACAGCATATGCTTCCTTGACATGGACAAAAACCCTGCATTCCAGGCCCATCACACAATAACAAAAAGAAAAAATGACGGCAACAACAAAAAACGAAACAACAACACAAAACAAAACAAAACAAAACAAAAAACACAGCCAGGAATCTTGGCGCACATTTATTTCCAGCATTTAGAAACAAGAATTGAGGGGATCTCTGAGTTCAAGGCTGACCTGGTGTATATAGCTACTTTCAGGACAGCGAGGGCTGATCTTGTCTTCAAAAACAAACAAATTAAAACAAAACAGAAGGGTAGCAAACTGGCTTAGCACTAAACAGTAACTGCTTCTACTGCATCTTATGCGAATCATGGGTAGAGTCTATAATGTTAGTGAAGGTATGATAGTACAAGAAGGAAACTGGATGATTAGTTTCAACCACAACACATTAGATACAAAGAACAGAAAACAGAGTGAGGCTATTCAGACTCATATCACATCCCCAATGAAGAATTTCATCCAGAAAGCCTAAAGTGTCATGAGCAATCCAAAGAAAGTCACCAAGGAAAGACACAGGTGCAAGCATACAACCCTGTTTGGGAGGTTTTTCATTCAGTCAATTACATTCTGACACAAGTTACTATGGGCTAATGGTCATCCATAAAGAAAATGCATTTAGTCATTTCAATGATCCTCATAATCTGCAACAACCCCTACAGTTGTTTGTGTTAGAATATTATTTTAAGGTGTGTGACTTTGTTTGTGCTTCAACTGTTTAACTTGATGAAGCTGTGATTCTTTGCTTATCTTAAACACCCAATGTCTAATAAAGAGCCAAATGGCCAATAGCAAGACAGGAGCAAGGATAGGCAGGGATGGCAGGCAGAAAGTATAAATAGGAGAAATGAAGAAAAGGATAGCAAGAGAAGCATTAGAGGAGGGTGTCAGGGGCCAGCCACCCAGCAACACAGCAATCCACAGAGTAAGAGTACAATTTACAGATGTAAGAGAACAGGAAAAGCCCAGAGGCAAAAAGGCAGACAGGATAATTAATTTAAGTTAAGAAAAGCTGGCTAGCAATGAGCTAGCCAGGACATTCATAACTAACAATAAGACTCTGTGTGTGATTTGTTTGGGAGCTGGGTGGTGTGCCCGCAAAAGAGAAAATACTTCTTATTACTGTTGTTAAATGTCTGTTCAAATGTCTGGCCTCTTCTGACACTCAAGACAATCTCTTGACTGACATCTTATAAAATCAGAAAACAAATTTCATCTTTCCATCACACAATGGCACAGAACACCATTCATATTCCAAAAGAGACAAATGAAGACATAGTGAGGGAAGACTCACCCAAGATAAGACGAAAGTACAGCAAAACAAACATCAAACCCTATAGCTCTGTCTCAGATGCATTGGGCTTCATTTTCAATGGGTTTAGATGGCCCTATCCCTGCAACTTCTCACACATCTCTCTCTTTGGTTACTTCCACTGCCTATATACAGCTAACTCTCCATGGAAGATGTCTCATAGCTCTAGGGATCTCAATATTTTGTGGTGTCAAAATTCAAATCAGGCTGTTGTGGAATATTATTTTAAGATGGATTATATTTGCTTATGCTGTGTAACATGTGTTTTAATGTTGCAAAAATGTGTTGCATTCTTTTATGTTGCATTTCATGACAAAAACTATATATATATATATGTGTGTGTGTGTGTATACATATATAAAATACTTATATATTAATCTTATAAATTTTGATATAATATTTGTAACTTAAGAAAACCTGTTAAAGAGGCAATATAAAAAGAAAGGATTATGAGGATTAGTGGCAATAATAAAGTCCTTTATTTTTTGTTTTTCTTGTCCCATATCAGGTGGCTCTTCTGATATGAGAAAGATCAAGCATGCCTAGGCTCAAAGAAGTAAAGAGCCACATTCCAATTCTAAAGCCAGCTTTAGTCTTTAATGAGACTGGGACTATAAAAATCCCATTTACATCATATGTCTGTAGAGAACAGTAGAAACAAACATTGGGAAGATTTAGGAAAGTTTATCTTGTTGTAAATGTGATATAAGAATAGGCCAATTTATTCTTTTTCTTGGGACATTTTTTTTCCCTAGATGATTTGTTCTTTTTCTTCAGATGTCTCATTTGGCCAGTGTTCTTCAGAGTCCTTACCTGGATTTGGATGTCTTTATTCTCCTGAAAGGACAGAAACAAAACCCTTCCCTGATCCTAATTTTGAGAACAAATTATATCTGATCAAATGAAAAGCATTTGTTAGCTTTGTAAGCTAGTTTAAACAGTAATGCAGCTTGATGAATTATCATCTCTTCTAATTAAGAGGTCTCTTGTTCAAATCTAATCTTTATCAATTTTTATAGTATCCATAGCTTTTATTCTCCTGTGGAAACAAAAGCAAAATCCCTTCACCAATGTAACACATGTCCTGGTTTCCATTCTGAGGTCAACACATGTTTAAAATATACTAGCTGATTTAATTCTGTAGTTTTTTTTTCCATTACCCAATGTCTCTCCAAAGCCGTTGTTCCTTTCTCATTAGCATTTAGAAAATTCAAAGTTAATACAGCATTATGCAATCTACTTCTGGGGGCCTTTATTATCCGTTTCTATTTATATGGCATATCCTTTGGAGTATGATTTCATCTTTCTGTAACTGCCTGCCCTGTAGGATTGTGTGGTATACCTGTACTATGCTTTATATTATAATAAGCAAAAACCTGTTTCTTTTCTAGAGACATATGCTTTTGCATTATCTTTATTTCTACATATATACCCATAATGACCATAACTTCTAACAAATGTTTGATGACCAAATCTGCCTTTTCCAAACTGAAAGCAGTTGCCAATTAAAAACCTGAATAGGTATCAACGACATGGTGTACATATTTTAATTTTCCAAGTTCTACAAAGTGGAACACATCCATCTGCCAGTTTTCATTCCTTTGAGTACCCTTTGAGTTACTTCCTGCAGGTAGTGGAGTTTGATTGTATAAAGAACAAGTAGGACATTTCCTTATAATTTTCTTGGCTTGTTGCCAAGTGATGGGAAAGTCTTTTAAACTTTGCTATTGGCATGATATTTTTTTATGAAATTCTGAGGCCTCCAGCACATTTCCAACCAAAAGTTGATCAATTTCTTCATTATTTGGAGCTAGAGAGCCTAGCAGACCCATATGGGATCAAATGCCTGTTATGTATGTATATGGGACGATTCCTACTCCTGATTATTTCTTGAAAGTGAATAAATAAAAAGTCAATTCTGTATCATTTGGCATAAATTCAATGGTTTCAACATGCAAAACAACTCTTTCTGCATATTGTTAATCAGTAACTATGTCGAGAAGTGCCATAAAATCCATTAACACCAGGAGAACAGCATGAAGTTCTGACTTTTGAAGAGAATCATAAGGACTTAGAACCATTTTACTTGAATTTTCTGATTTGTAACTTGCCTTTACTAATTATTTGCATCAGAGTAGAATGTAGGAGCTCCAGATATTGGTGTTTCCAATAAAAATGTGAGGAACAATCCAACTAGTTATCTTTATAAGTTTAATTCTCTTGCTTTTGGGATGTTTGTTATTAATACCTCCCAAAGATCACTGCTAGCTCTTTGCCAGGAAAATTTTCTGGCCATAATTTGTCAACTTCACCCTTATTAAAAGGTACTACAATTTCTACTGAGTCCATTCCTGCTGATTGATGAAATCTCAATTTTCCTTTAGAATTAACTCAGAGATCTTTTCCACAAAAGTTTCTATTTTTTTTTTTTAAACTCAGTTTATGTGGTTAAAAAGAACCATTCTAAGATATCTTCCCTCTGCATTAATATTCCTGTAGGGGATGCTGAGAGGGAAAAATGACCAGAATTCAGTTAAGCTTTGGATCCACATGACACACATTTACATTTAGTACTTTCTATTCCACCAAAGCCAACTCTCTCTTAGTTTC